CCTTTTAGGGTCCTGTTTAATTATAAGGGTGCCGTACTAAATTAGGGACCCCAAAAGGGACCCTAATTTAGAGAACTACCCTTATACAAATCGTTCATTCAGTCCGCAAAGGGGGTCGGTCACTTGGGGTTCAGGGAACCCTTCCAAGGTTTAGGGTGGGTTTAGGAACATGTTTGATCAACTATGGCTTAGAACTTTGGGTTTAGGGACTTTGGGTTTACGGGTTTAGAGATTTGAGGGTTTAGGGGTTTTGTGCTTGCGGCCCATGCTTCGTGGCTTTGTCTAGCCTTCCCAGAGCCCACGACGGCCAACACCGATCCAAGTAACCCTCCCTAAACCCTAAACCCGTAAGCAAGCCCAGCGAAATCCCTTGATCCTTACGAACCACATCCCCGAAACTCAAGCGCTGGACCCAAAACCCCCCTGAACTCCAAAGTTGCAGCTCTTCCTGTCTTCGAAGAACACGCTCAGAGTCCCTTGATAGTGCAGACGAACACCACACCCGCAAAAACCCGCCTGAAACTTCTTCAGCCCGTCTGTTCAGCTTCCAAGCTTAAAGCCGTGAAGGTTGCGAGATTTCAAGTCAACCCTAAAACCTTCGCCCCAAACCAAATCTTAAACCCTAAACCCTAAACCCAAACCCTTAAACCCTTAAGCCCTAAACCTGAAGGGTGTTGGGCATAAAATCCTTCCCAGCTGCCTCATCTGAGGCTTCTCGAAGGCAAAAGACGGGAGACCTGGGCCAAGCCAAACTAAGCCCCAAAGAGGCTTTAGGCTCTCGGGTTTAGGATGCAGGGTTTAGGAGTTTAGGATTTAGGATGTAGGGTTTAGGGTTTAGGGCTTCCGAACCCCACTTCAAAACTTAAGACCTGTAAAAAAAAACAAATAAGAAACGACCCTAAACCCTAAACCCTAAACCTTAAACCCTACAAACATCCTACCAAAGCTAAATCTGGGCACTGCAAGAGAAAGCACGACCCTAAACCCTAAACCTCTGTTGCATGAGTGAAGGGTCAAGACTCTCCCTAAACCCTAAACCCTAAACCCTAAACCCTAAACCCTAAACCCTAAACGGTGAGGAAG